AAAACTCATCTTCAAACCCTCAATTTTTTGGTACTTTAAAATATTATTCATAACCCTCCATTCTCTCTCATGCTCACGTTTGTAATCATCAGTCTAGGGTAGGGAGACATTAGCATCTTTTGCCCACAAAAAGATCCAACCATGTAGAAAGAGAGATTCTTAAAAAGGCAATTTGTAAATTAAATTAAAACAACATACTCTTATGTTTTGAATTCTTTCCTTTATTTTAGTTACGTGTTTATTTACAAATAATTCCTTTACGATTATTTTATAAAAAGTACAAAAGCATGATTTTGGATGTATATTGTATTTCATTTCTTATATTTTTTGGTACATTTAATAAAATAAACTAAATTTTCAATTTTATCCCCGCAGAAATCATTGAAATATCAAATTAAGAGAGTACAACTTATCACTAGGTGTACCTGCAGGGTCTTGCTTTTCTTCTGAGCTTTTCACATTGACATCGTACAGTTCTTTGTCTTCAGCGGAATCAGAAGCAGTTTCCTCCATCTCCCGGCGACGTCGTTTCTGGCGCTCTCTTGCTTTGTGATTCTGGAACCAGTAGAACACGTTCTTCCCTTCAATCTTGCCAAAACGACGTAGCTGTGAAGCTATTTGCTGTATTTGTTCAGCCGTCGGCGTCTTCGTCCCTTGTCTGTACAGTTCCTCAAGCACCAGTAACTGTGCCGGCGTTGGACTCCATCTCGAGCTTTGCTGAGATTGCCCATGCAACCCTCTACTTTTACCTGCTCCTTCCTCTCCTGAACACATCCACAAAATAATAAATCCTTCAACTTTAAACACCAACACTTCAAAAATGAAATCTAACGTAGTTTCTTGTATATACCGGCAACACCTACTTTTAAACGGTTGTTTGTTAGTTCATTGTGCAGTCATATATTTGCAGTATATTTACCTGAGTATTTCTTAAAAGATGTTATGCAACTTTTCAAACTGGACCTTATACTATATTTTGTTGTGTTCCGGTGTCTTTATTGTATGTATCAAGATAAGCACATAGGAAGAAGACTGAAACAGAATGAGATTTCAGTTTGGCTTACCCATAGGATGATGTTTCGAAGAGATGAGATTGGTGCAGTGGGTGCAAATGCAGAAAGGTATGATTTTGGGAGGTGCAGGAGAATTAAGCGTGGAGTTTGGAGTACTGAGAGGGTGAAGCTTGGAGGCACTGAATGAATCAGACATATTTTCTATGAACAAGATCACCAGATCACTACAGCTGCCTAAAAGGTCGGTGTTACATAGTGCGTATATATTGATATCGAAGATCTTTGCTTTTTTGGCGTAAGGAAATTGGGTTTTGAATGAAATGCAGAGAGAAGATATATAGTGAGTGAAAGTGAATGATACAGATGAAGTTTGAGCAAGGAAGAAGAGGCGTATTTGTAGGAACAGAAAACTTTGTAGTAAAAGCTTTAGGTGGAGCAGCAAGCAACGAAAAGTTAGTTGACCACTCCATCTAATGATACAGAAACCAAATGTTCAAATCATGAGTGTGTGTGTGAGAGAGAGAGAGGGGGGGGGGGGAAGAGAAAATAGAAGCGTGGAACTGAGATATGTCGAGGGTCAAGCTGTACAAAAGGACAAGACCATTATGATAACCATATAATGTGTTGATTAAAGTTGTTGCATCTTCAGAGTTAGCCGGTAATAAAAGAGTGACGACATCTTTTTATAGGGATTATAATTTTGATCGCATCGGATAGATTCTTAAAATTATTATTCAGAAAAGGAAGGGGGAAAAAAAAGAGTTTCAACAAAACTCAGAGTCTTACACAAACAAGAAAAGGTAACTGCCCTGTCTCTTTGTAACCTTCTCTAGTACAGAACACGCGCAAATAGTTAATTCTTCATTCACAGTGCCAAGCGACTGCCTTTGGCTCTCTCTCTCTTTCTCTTTCTTCTGAGTACGTATGTGTGTGTGACTATTCCAGATTTCTATCTAACGGTGTTCTAGGGGCATACCTCAATGAGTTCCACAAAGAGAAACTGTTGCTGTTAGTATATGTGATTTATTTTGGGCTTGGATATGTTCTGTACTACACAGTTGATGATCCTGCATATTTGAAGTCTTGAACAATGCTTGGTGACACTGTGACTTAATTTTTAACACCTAAACTTGGAAAAAGAATGTACATCCCTATTATATCAGGCTATTCATCTGTCTTGGTAAGCGCTTCTTAATTATGATAATTAGAAGCTCAACAGATTTAGATTAGTTATCGCTACAATTTCGTCTCTCTTTTCTGAATGTTTTTGTTGGATTTGACATCATAGATCTAGATTATGACACTTCAACAGTAATTAAACATTAGTGATAATAATTTTGCCATGGACAAAACCAGTTCTTAATGGATCAACGAAAATATAATCAATCCCACCTACTTGGTTCAAATCTCACATCATGCAATATAATTCGGTTAACCATAAAGTATAACAAAGGATCCTCCTTACAAGTTATCACGGAGCATTAATTACATCGACATCGACAAAGGACATGAGATATATATATATATAACTTGAAAAGTCACGTCATGTTTGACATAAATTTCTGATGCAATTTATAATTTGGAGTGCCCATGAGTCTTTGATGGACTAAGAGCTCCATCTAGATCATTCACCAAACATTTGAACCATGGATGAATGAATATGCACCTTCACATGTATATAGCTCTTGATCATCTTCACAAGTAATTTTCAAAAAACTTGAAATCTGTTGCTATCTGCAACGTTTGCTAATCTGTGGGAGAAAAATCAATGAACTGAACCACACACACACACATATGTATATATCTCATCAACGTTCTGAAGGATCATGGCTTGAGAGTTGACCACAAAAACAGAGTTCGTCAACCTTCCTTGTCATGTTGGAAAGTCATAATAGTAGCTTTACGTGTAGGGCATAATGGAGCAAGGTACTATGCTACTGCATGCATAATAATGAATGTAAAGCAACAAGGTACAGAGTAGTAGAAGAAACAGAGGCACGTGTCTCACGTGTACAATAATGAATATGAGCTGCCCCTAAACACTAATTTAGCCCTCCTTCAAAACTCATCTGTGTCCCTCTCAAACTTGGTATATTAGCAGAATCGATAATACATAAGTGTTCCCATGTCCCCCGACCATGTCCCCCAAAACTCATTATTGCTGCATTATGTTGTCGTTTGAAATAACTGCCTTCTATTAACTTTGTACGTGAGTTTTTGTTGATTATAAGCTTGGCTTATAGTGTGTGTGTTCCTTTTTTTCCCCCTTCATATTTTCACACGCATTCTCTGAACCGTCAACAAGTGTGATGGGTACTACAAGTTGAACCCTTCCAGCTTCTGCAGTCTGTTTCTAGGTCAGCTTCCTCAGATTTATGTGTCTTAACCATAAAGTGCTACATTTTGTCAGTCGTTGACATGCAATGAGTGAACCTTTATCATTGTTGTCATAATTACTATGCAAGGCAATACTTGCATAAATTAAATAAAGTGAAAAAATTGTAGAAGAAATTTGCAAATGAGTTAAGGGGTTTCCAAAATGATAAAGGAAGTGGAGGCAAATATTCAAAACTGATCATATTTATTTGTGAATTTCCCCAAAGTCAATGGGGACAATGCTACTTTGCACGTGGGTTTTTTTACCTGTTTGTGTAATAGTAAGAAAATATTTTTATTAAATCAACAAACCATTATAAGACCTTTTAAACTGTCATTGTTAAAGTCTAGTTTTTCCGGGTTAGGACTGCAGTGCTACTTTGCAAGTCCCTAAAGGCTAATCTATAAATGAGAAAACCTCAAAATTTAAGAACCATATAAATTTTGATAGCTGTTCAACGAAGGACAGCTTAAATTTCACATTTGGAGTGTGCCAGGTGGCATTTTATTTCCTCATGTTGATGGGATTACTATTCAACAATAATGTGCACATCCCCTAGGTAATTTATGACATGCATGTTTTTCAACCCTCAAAAAACATCATTACAGTTGAAAATAGTCTCCATGGAACCAGGGCTCGAATTTCAATTACATATTTGTTTGAATTATATAGACTTGTGCAACAATCCCCTTCCCCAGCGTCAATACACGAATTTTACAATTGAAGATAAAACAACAGAGCAATCTCTTAGTGAAAAGAAGTCTAATGTATATATCAAAGTCACAGACAAGGAGTAAATGTGTTGTCTCTATGTTCCTTCAAATATTTAATCACTTCAAAAAGCACTGTCATCCTTCTCAATTATTTGTCCACAAGGCGATAACTACACTTCCAAATCATACTTGATCCGGGAGCATAGCTGATGTCATCTTGTCTAGAGGAACTGTGTTTCAATAAGGGTACGTAATATTAGAATCAGCAAATGAAGAAACATATTGGAAAAAAATGAAGATATTCCACCACGACTTGCTCTTCAAAAGTGGCAAATGAGCTTGAAAATCCTTGCATTCTAGGGCCTTTAAAAACAGATATCACGCCCTCCCTTTTTTTTTTTCCAGCTAGAAACATCCCAGCCCTATTTTTTAAGTTGCATTGACTGGGCATGTGTTGTTGTTTAAGGAAGATATCATCAATAGTCTGATTTAATCATTGGATTGAAACCAAATACCAGGATGATGAGAAAAATAAACCATAAAAATGGCGAAGTTTAGGAAGTGATTGCTATTAGGTTTACAGTATTCATATTTGACTAAGAATTATTTATTGATCATCTTCAACCATATCTGATTCGGATTATGTTCATTAAATTGATCCATATACAGATCCATACAGATATATGTGATGCTATTTAACGAGGTCTGCATGGTTTTATGAAGCAACACTAATGATCTACAATAGGAAAATAGAAAAAGAACTAAACTGTTATGAATATGAATAGAGAGGTTGAGACTTGTCACCTGCATCCTGGCCGGTGCGAACCACCGAAACAATCAATGGATGAACTGAACAGAAACATTGCAGACGCAGCCATGTATAGTTTACTTGGGATTCTCATTTCTCAAGGCTTTGACAGACAGAGATAAGATTTCATATCTGGAAGTGATATAAATCGATAAATTAGAAATTGCAGATCCTAAGTCAGTCTCAAACGAGGCGTTAATTCAACTCCTCTGCTTAAAAACTGGGTAAACATTTTAGACCGTATCCAATATAAACGCAAAATTTTGGCCAGCATATAGTTTCAAATAGGACTTAAACAACGTGGTCATCTCCGCACGCAACATAATTATTGATGAGGAGGGTAAAATCTATTAATTCATGTATTTAATTATTGTTAAAATTAGAATACTTTGGAAGAAATAATTTCATAGTTTCTTCAGCAGTCTTTGACATGAAAGTTTATTGGGGACAGAATCGTTGATTTTAGTCATCAACAAGCTAACTTGTGCATAAAATTTATCCCACTACAAAAAATTCTGTGTTTATTTGTATCAAGCAATACGTCAATATGCAATAGGAGATACTTTTCTAGACCTATTTATAGAGTAAAGAGAGAAGATATTTTTTGGTCCGATTTATAAGGCATTGAGAGAAATTTTTATATGGATGTATAATTTTACCCTTCATTTATTATTATATTGATTTTGTTTACATGAGATATAATATATATTGAATAGAGATAAAGTTGAAAAGTTGTTAAATTTTAAATGAGAGTTAATGAAATTTAAGATTTTTCTTAGTTTGTATGAACATGTTGAGAGTGGCTTACAAATAGGACATGTAAGTATAAAACATGAAATTTTTGTACACATTGCTAGACCATCAGTGGTAAGAAAGAAACATCCAAGAAGCCGTAAACCTAAATAATCTTGCGGCATAAATTTTTAGATTTTCCCTGTTCAATATGCAGAGTGAAACACTTGCGCAGGAAAACGTCTGAAATCCACTGAACAATGAAAGCAGATTTGCCAACAGGCTAGCCCAAGTGAAGCTGACACCGTCTATTGTTTTAGCCAAAGTAAAAAATTGAAAAGAGCAGAACTAATATATAATTAAAAATTGAAACTTTGAGCTGTGTGAAAGCAGTATAACAAGTAGAAGGAAGAAGAAGCACAACCCAAGGAATGTGCTTTCACTCATTTTATTGCAATAATTAGTCCACTGAACAAATTAAGATCTCATCCTAGCGGGATAGCAGCACCAGTTTCTTCTCATCGTCCGACCAAATAACAAGCATCCTGATCTCATGTGATTGATAGAACTGACTTCTCCTTAAGTTCAGCTCCTTTTAGCCACAGAAAAGCCCCAAGCTCTCACAGTTCTGAGTTCTGATTAGCGTCTGAGACAGAGGATACAGACTGTTGACTTCTTCGATGTTGATTGATCATTCATGAAAATCCAAGTCCAGAATGCAGGCGAGAGATTTATTAAAATAATAGATTTTTGGCACTGTCCAACTCCAGGGTTTTGCTTGCTGGCAATGATGCAAGAGTAGCCTATAATTACATTCACCAATAGATCCGTTGCTCACAACAGCGGGTATGACCATCTCAATAATTTCCTCAACCTCCCTCTTAAAGAATGATACATGCCTGAGTCCCAAGACTCAATTAGCATACAGCTAAGAATTGAGAGTTTTCCTTACAATGAAAATGAGTACTTATTTCATAAGATGACTAGGATGATTTTCTAGTCCATATGAACTCAAGGTGCGCAGGCGAAATATCACCAAGGGTATGCTTTGTGAGAGCTACTAAACATCGTGATTTCTAGTTACATGTAATTCTTTGGCCATCTTTTGTGTCCTTGATGTCTTTATCTGTAGTTTGTCTCTAATTACCGCCACGCGTGGGGGCATTCAGGAACAGAAAACATGGATAGTGAGTCTAGATTCCTATACCGCTTGAAAACTCGTTATTGCTCATAGCCAATTACCAGAAATCCTTACATGAACAAACCCCATTCCTGAAATGATGAAAACGAATTTTATCTCTCATAATTATCTCTCTCAATGAAATTTGAGAGACAAATTTAGAGAAAGTATGGCAGTCATTGCATATTCTCAAATTTTTTATCACTCTAATGGGGCGTTCAGGCCCTACATTAATCAAAGCGAACGCGATGGCGAGCTTTTCACTGTGAGTTCTGAGAATTAGTTCCTTCTCTTCCAATTCCACATCATGCAACACAGAATTGGTCTTTGAACTGTAACCCATACTCTTCATTTGTTTAATCAAGCAATCCAACTTTTCATATATGATCTTTGACTGTGGATGTGAACTATCTCCCTTATAGAAAACATGTAAATCACCATTAAACTCAACTGAGCTATAAGCAGCTATTTTTCTGACACCCTTGTTCCTCATCCTCTGCCTCACCTTAGTAACAAAATCCCACCTCCCAGCAGATGCATACATATTGGACATTAGAACCTGGTATGAAGCAATATCAGGAGCTAGTTCATAAAGACGATCCGCGGCATGTTGGCCCAATTCCACGTTTTGGTGTATAACACAGGCGCTCAATAGAGCCCCCCATACTCCCGAGTCTGGCTCAATAGGCATGCTTCTGATGAAGTTATACGCATCTTCAAGACGTCCTGATCGGCCAAGAAGATCAACCATGCAAGCATAATGTTCTTTCCTGGGTTTGATGCTTTCATCATCTGACCGAGACATCCGATTAAAATATCTCCAGCCCTGGCTCACTAGTCCAGCATGGCTACAGGCAGTCAAAACCCCTAGATACGTAACATAATTTGGCCGCAATCCCTCTCTCTGCATCCTAGAAAACAAGGATAATGCCTTTGCACTTTCCCCATTAATAGCATATCCTAAAATCATAGTACTCCATGAAATTACATTCCGGCGAGGAATTTTCTCAAACAATTTGGTCGCAAAGTCAATATTACCACACTTCATATGCATGTCTAGACGTGCATTTTCAACAATTATGTTGCAATCAATCCCTTCTTCTCTCGCAATACGATAAATTTCCTCTCCAGTATCCGAGTACCCTAGTTGGCCACAAACTGATAGAGCACTCACCAAAGTCACAGCATCTGGCCGAGTTCCAGTTGACCCCATTTCACGGAACAAAGCAAGAGCCTTAGTACCATATCCATTTTGGGCACACGCTGCAATGAAAGCATTCCATGCCACTAAATCTCTTTCAACCATGGTCTTAAACAAAAAATCAGCTAAACCTACCTCTCCAAGTATGACATACATGATCATCAATTCAGTCCTTATCACTGCAATAAACTCCATCCCATATTTCACGACCTGGGCATGCGTAGTAGAAGCCGCAGCCTTGAATTCAGGCAGCTCAGCACAAGCCTTAATGACGAAGGGAAAGGTGTACGAATCAGGACGTACACCGAGAAGATGCATTCGCTTATAAATGGAGGCTGCTTCATTGGGTTGACCATTTTGCACGTAACCTCTGATCAGTGTGCTCCACAAGAAAGCTCGGGGCTTATGCATTTCATCGAACAGTTGACGGGCGTACGACATATCGCCCAATGCTATGAAGCTGGCGAGAAGATGCGTCAGGAGGCTGTTCTTGATGGAAAGGCCCGATGTGAGGAGGAGGGCATGGATTTGTTTCAGCTGAGATGGATTCGAGGAACATGATTGCAACAGGGGGGTAAATGCTCCTTTGGTCAGAAACTTTAGTTGATTTGTAAGGGCGAGCGAAGAGAATTTGAGGTTTGGAAGGAATTGAACAAGTCGGAAGGTGAAGAAAAACTTGGTGGGAATTATTTTTGCAAGTATGAGCATGGCAATATGGTGGCATTGCCTAATGCCTATGTTGTTTGCGGTTTTATTTTAACGTAAACCCATGCCTTTAAGCAAACCGATTATCAGAATTTCCACCTAAGATTTCCATTACTCCCGCCGCCAGCAGTTAATCCGCACATAAACTTTTTTTTTTTTTCCTTGGGCATGAAATTGAAGACTCAATTGCATGACCAGAAAACACCACAAAAAAATACAATCTAAACTGCTTATCTCCTTTCATCAACCGCCTCCTCTTGGATATACGGTGAAGGTTGATCAGAGGTACCCTATGAGAGTTTTGCTAAGCAATCAGGTACTCTATTATACTCGTACACGCATTCGAAAACAGAAAAACCCAGTGACCTTACAGGGAGATGTGCCAAACACTACTACTTTTCGCTTTTAACAGGCGTACGTGGACAGAAAATCTTGCGACTATGAGTTAGGAAAAAAAGAGGCGACTGTTTTTAGATTAAAAACTCAATTCTTTTATTAAGCATATATCTTTTCTTTTCTTTTCTTTTCTTTTTATAAGCAGACATCTTTTTTATTAGATGGCTGGTGAAGACATTTTCAGTTACGAAGCGAGGATTAGAACATTAATTTACGATGTAATACCTCCGATCCTAATTATAAGAACTAGTTGATTAATTTGAGAAGATTAAGGAAAAAAGTTAAGTTAATTATTTGTCATAAATAGGTATTGTCTTTCTTAAAATATCCTTGTTAATCAAGTTTATTGGCTAGAATTATTATTATTAGAAGGACTATCTTAAAAAAATACATAAATATTAAAAACAAAGTATATTAGGTTCTTATATTTAGGACCAAAATAAAAATCAAACGAAGTCTTATATTAAAGACGGAGGTGGCATCTGATTGCTATGAAAAATTTAATATTAATATAAGTTTTATTCTCTTCCTCATTTTAATTTTACTTTTTTAAATTTCAAACCATAATTTTTTGTTCTTCTACGAGCATGGTCCGTATATGTTTTGAAATATAGCGAACAATGTTTTAAATAAAGAGAAATTTTAAAGAATCAAAATTTATGATTTGAAATTCAATAGACCAAAAGCAAAATGAGAGCGAATTTAAGGAATCAAAAATTATATTGACCCAAAAAATTAATTTAATTATAATTAAAAAAGAAAACTAAGTAGATACCTAAATATTACTTCTTCAATCTTTAATATAAGATTTAATTATTGAGTTGATTTTGGTTTTAAATATAAGATCTACTTATCACATTTATCAATATAATTTTTCCTAAATTATCTCTATTGATATTCTCCCAACCATAATCAAGTAGGAACAGGATGGATGATATTAAGGAACACTATTATAATATTTTAGGAAAAACATTTCATATTTCTTATAATTAACTAACTTACCTAACTTTTTTAATCTAATTAAATTAATTAAATATTACTTCTAGTTTTAATTAAAAAATCTCATTTTATAAATTATAAATGAGATTTTATAATTAGAACAAGAGCTAGTATGTCTTATACTTGTTGGGTCATTTTTGGGCCTAATGAGACTATTGGATGTGTTCCAGTTATCAAAATAACAAATATCATTGGTCTGTTCCATCTCCCCGTTATTTTCCCGCTTCCCGTTTTTGTCTGTGGAGATTATTTTGGTGGTTTTTTTTTCCTTTCATCCAAACTTATTCTTCTGAATATGTATAAACAATTCAGTTAAAAAACGCTTTATACAAAACAATTAATCTAATCACAGCTAAGTGTGCCCCGTTAGGCAAACCACTATACATACAGCTATTATTCAACTATAATAACATGTACTTGTCGTGTACATAATAAAAAATTATGTACTTTTTTATGTTCTTATTGAAAAATAATTAACACATTAAAAACTAGCCTCACTTAACGAAATTAAGTAGCACCTTTTCACTTACAGGACTAAGTCGGCGGATCAAAACTAAAAGCGAGACAGATCCTGATTCTATGCTATAGTATTTCATTTTTCATTTTTATTTTTATAAATTTTTGTAAGTTGTTGTTTATGAAAGAATGTAGAGAGGAGGTTCCATTTTCATTTGAAATTTTTAATTTTAGATATTTATACAGAAATACTCAATATCTCATTAAATTCCCTTCTTAATTTGAAGAGGCGACTTTAATTTCACTTTCAAATTAAAAATGGAATGGGTTATCAGGACAAGGGAACAGCTTCATTGCAACGTGAGGGGGCAGCACTCAATCACATGGTTCCTTGGTGACTGGTTCTAGGGCCCAGAGAAAGAATAATTTTAAATAAAAAAAATCCTTCAAATTGGAAAAAAGAAAAAGAATTGTTGCAGAGAGAAGGAAATTAAAAGAGTAGAATATAGACTTCGTATAAGAGTTGCATTGGCGTGTGAATTAGAAGAGTGTGCGTAGACAGCGGCTATTAATACGTGACAGTCCAACATGACCCTCTCAGCAGGCAACTAGCAATCACCAGGCACGACTACAGTATCATAGTCTAAACAAAACAAAAGCTCGGATGCCAACAATATGACGAACAAAAAACCAGGCCAGTGAGGATGAATCTATCTGGGACTTGTAAAATGGTGCAACCTCCTAAAACATTATTAGACAACTGGGCAGCACAGAAATTTAACAATTATTAGAAGATTCAGGATTCACGGGTCATGTTCATCATATCATGTGACCCTTCTTCTTCTTCCTGCTCTTCCTTTCTCTCTATCTTTAACTTTTCCTTCCCGCAGAATTTTCCAAAGCCAAAAGCCCCTTTTGATTATTACACTCTCTTCAAGTCTATGGTTACCCACAAGACTGCGCAATAAAATGACAGGTTTCATGGAAATAAAAAGAAGGGCTTCTTCTGTCATCTTCTGTTGGCTCATTTTTTCAGTTGTTGCTGTTTTCAGTCTTTTCCTGTTCACTATTACTCACTGTGAAACCGGAAGCAGCTATTCCATTCAGCCTCCATCGCCAGCCACATTATTACACAAGAGTCAAGGTTCTACAAGTTTCAGAATCACAAGGGCACTGTTTCATGAATCATCATCATCATCATCATCTTCAACAAATGCTCGAGCTTCCACTTATGAAGAGGACAAGAGATTAATCCATACTGGTCCAAACCCTCTTCATAACTAGTTGTGCTGGCTGTATATGTATGTATGTACCAAGTGCATAAATAATATTGATATAAGATCTCTTTGTTTCTTTCTTTCCTCTTTAACTTTTGGATTTGGGAAGAATGAGAGCATAGGCGTTGGCATTTTCAACGGTGTAGCAAATGTGAAAGGAAAATAGGATGAGAGAAAAAGGAGGAGGGAGGCTAGTGCAATGCTCTTGTTTCTTTTCGCACTGAATTTTTTCTTCTTCTTCTTATTGACTGTAGATCTATGTTCCTCGATCTGCTCCACTTTCAAGGGGAAAAAAACAAAACATGTTTGAATTTGTTGGCCGATGCTGCGTTTCATTCTTCTATTCTTTTTTTCCTGGTCATATTGTTATTATATTATTATCTGGTATCTTGTCATTATTAGTTATTAGATATCCCTCTAGTCTTATTTATAGACCATACATATTTTATTAGTGTTTTACGAAGGTTAACGGTATTAAACTTTGTAGAACTAAGAAGAAGATTCTTATAATAGCTTTTACTTCTTTTACGACAATACAAAAGATATAAAATTAATTATCTTATATGCGATGGAAAAACCCCTTAAATTCAAAATATGGCGATTAAAAAGCTGATGAATATATGAATGTAGGTGCTCCGTATGAATTATTTAATTTAGAATATCTTTAATAGGTTCTATTTATCCAGCCTAGATTATTGAGATTAACAAGAAATCTAAATAATTCGATTCTAGATCTTTGGATGCTGTGGCGATTTACCCGTATTAAAAATTGGTTCGATATTGATGGATCAATCGGGCCAGTGAATCAATTTCTAGACCAACCTGAAATAATGGTTAAACTGAAGGAACATCGAATTCGTAAAGAATCAATCAACCAGAGATGTTAAACAAGTCAAGATTATCACCTATACACAATATCTAGACTCAGGACAAGACTTATTCGGAATAGGCCGACGCCTCCCAACAATAATTTTCTCCAATCCACATACAAGAATATTAATCAAAAGCTTTAAAATAATAATAATTTAAACCAAGTACTCAATGTAAAACAAAAGAATAATCCTTCTGAGATGTTAGGCTCTCGTATGTTCCCCCCCCCCCCAAAGGATCTTTAATTTTTCAATCATATTTAAAGATTTTTTTTGTGGCTAGATACAAGTATTCTCTTATTAGAAGCATTCTTATTTGAGACACTATTGGATACTAAATATGGATATCTCTCCCAACAGAGATTTAAATTTTAGTTCACTAAGTTGTGAAAAACTAACATCTTTCACTGGACCTAATTACTGTTGGTAATGTTATTTCTCTTTTAAGTGCATATATCACAGGGAGAAGCCCAATACCAAACGAAAACCACCAGTTGTGGGCTATAAGCCCAGTAATGTCCTCAAGGGGTTGTGCCCTTCACATCTATGCCACCAGTCTGTAATGAACAAATCGCCTGCTCCCGCTCAATGATCTTTAATTTTGCTTTGATTTGTGCTGCACTACGCACGTTTATGGTATTTTTGTTTCTTTCTAAGGTCCCTTTTCTGTTCGACAAATTTGCCTCTCCATAATTCATTTGTCACTTTGTGAATAATTGGATTTAGTTTGACATTTTGGTAATATCATCCCTTTCAATACAGTACTTATATTAATTTTATATCAATTTTGAGAATTTTTAAAGTCCCATCATGTTGGGGAAATGTCTCTCAAAAATCTTACATTATATTATCAATTATGGATTCCACTAACCTACCGCACAATCGATTTTATCGAATATGCTCAGAATAATTATCAAGTATTGGTATTTAAACATGCCGACATTTATAGCCCAGGTTAGTTATCCTTATCAAGTGATTAGTTGAGATTAATATACATGTAACCCCAAAATAGAGAAATACTTAAATACTCGTGAAGTGTCATATTATTTATACTCTCTCCAATTACTCCAAGTGACTTTTCTTGTGAATCCAAAAATTTCTATCATAACCAGTCATTGAGAGAGAAAAATAATCAAAAAAAATTTGTAGGAATATGAGATCCACAAAAAGCTAGACACTTGAAACTTTTTTATTAGAGAGCATGAATACCGTGGCACTCAAGGAATATAGTATTTGTCCCCCTAAATAATTATTGGCTGATAATTTGTATCAGTATTAATATAATACGAAATATGGGGGGGGGGAAAACACAAGAAGAAAAATGGTTGGCACTATATGGCAATACACAAGCTCTATGATAATTTATGAGACCTGGGTAAGATGGAACTTAACTCATGAAGCAGGTCAATCTTATACGGAGAGGATTCCGTGATCAAGACATTATTGGTTACATATATGTCGGGATATCTGAGTTTCTAGATGTGGTAAACTTTCTGATTCAACTACTGATGATGATATTCACCAACGTGCTCATGATAGTTTCATGCTTATTTGGACAAGGACTTGTTTGGGCATCGTACGTACTCTATTGTGCAATAGTTGGTATAATAATACTATCAAGGACAATGTTCAAGAGCACTGCTCTAAGCTGGAGGTAGATGGTGTGGTCCTCAATATTGGCAAAAATGTCTGTGGTGGAGTAATCAAAGGTAAAGATGCTAGGTGAATCTGTGGTTAGTTGCAAACTCAGGAATGTCCCCCAGCTATTACTGAAATTTTAGGAATTATGAATGGTCGATCTTTGTTAGGGTAGGGGGTATCGGAATTTAACCATTTATTCTAATTATGTTCAAGCGATTAACCTGCTAACTAGGGTGTGTGATGATCATGCATTTACAAACATTGTTGACAACAAGACTATCACTCAAAAAAAAAAAACATAAAATTAGTGACGATCCATTTCTAATCCATCATAAATTCTGTTACTAAAATTAACAATGAAATTTAGTAACAGATTAGTGTTGGAATTTTATTTATTTATATTCAGTTGGTATATTTCTCCAATCAAATATTGACATATATGTATATTATAAATGATAATTTAAGAAAATTTTAATAAAGGAACCTAATTGAAATAAGCAAACCAACTTCAGTTTTTCTCGTGACTTAAATACCTCCAACACGCATCACAAAAGTTGTATATAAGGGTGATTGGAGGACACCAATTTTGCACAAGCATTTGTCATCTTTATTTACGTTGCAAGTGTACATTGTTTTCACTTCGATTGAGAGATATGGTTAGTACGCTGGAGGCTAGTCTTGAACTCCAATCTTCAGCTTTGAAGTTTCTGGAGATATTTTCCACCAAAACATATGAGATTGCTACCATCTCCCCCGACATCGTTCAAAGTGTCGAAATTGTTTCTGGTGAATGGGGCATTGCAGGCTTCACCTTCGTCGTCAACTATACCCTAGGTAAGACAATAATTAATATAATCAGTAGCTTCAATGTGTCTTTTTTTTTTCATTCCCGAAAACTTCTTATACTTGACTCAAAAAAGAGGTTTAAGTATCCATATTGCATATATATATATATGATGACGCAGATGGGACAGCGCAAGTAGCTAAGATGGAGGCGTCAAGCATAAACCTAATAGACCTATCAATAACATTCAAAGTGATAGAGGGAGATCTGTTGGATGTTTACAATAGCTTCACTGTTTCTCTTAAACTCACTCCGAATGTACTCTCGGGAAGCGTTTTGAAATGGACCTTTGAGTATGAGAAGCCAAGCTCAGACTGCTGACCCAGACTCCTTGATGGAAGCTGCTATTCAAGTCTCCAAAGACGTGGATGCTTATGTCAGCAACCTCATCTAGACTTCAACTAATTACCTTCATGCTTGTGAGTAATAAAGTCTGTGCGCGTGTCAAATAAAAGTTGGCTTTATTAGCTTCTGTAAGCTGTAAGCGTGTTCCTTCGTATATTCTGCTTTCTGCTATGTTCAAAATGGTGGGTTTTTGTCGCGCTTGATCAAGTCTAAGCTGTTGCTTGTTGTACAATGTAATTCCAGGGCAAGTAATTATAATTCCTGCTTTCGAACTCTCTCAATCCTAGATTTTGAGATTGAAGGAAAGAAAAGATATATATTTTGGTGCCAGCAATAATCTTTCATAGATATCATCAGCCTCTTGTAGGTTTTGCAATATAATCATGTCTGAAAAATTCTGCTTTGGGTGCATGACGGAGATAAAGCCATAATAAAAGAAAAACCAAACATATGTGGGCTGATGCGAACAAATCTCTTATAATCAAGAAGCAACCTAATATTGCCATCAGGTGGTTCTCCCTTCTTTCTTTCCACGTGGAGTCGCTGTGACATATATAAAATAGATACTCTATATCACACGCTTTGGATTTAAGGACCTTATTGATCTTTAATTTTACTCATATTAAAGAAATATTTAACAAAACCGCTCATGTTTACGTATAAATTGGTAGTCCAAAAAGCTGAATTGAGATTTTTGGAATTATATAAATTAAAAATTAAATCACATCTAGCTAGTAGCAGTGGATAATTCTAAAATCTAAAACAATAATCTCACTTAAATAATCAAATTTTTAAATGTCAGATTATGTGGTCAATAAATAAAAAGTCCTTTCAGTGCTACTGGATGTGATATTTTCAGCAGAAAAATCTGTCAAGTATTTTCAGATATGTAGGCAACAGGGCTAAATCAGGATAATTTTACTATGCCAAATCCATTAATTCCGACTCTAATAATTATTACAAAATAACAAAACATCTGATATAATATCCAGTCTAGATTAAAAAAAGAGAGGAGGTAATTAAATATGATCTTCAACTAACCTACACAAATATATCCCCCGACATTACGCATCACAAACTTTTTATATATGTAAAGGTCATATATAAAAAAATATGACGTATTTTAGGAAAAACACTATAACCATCTTCCTTAATATCTTCTTTCCTTCTTCTATTTGATTATGGTTTATGCAGTATCTATAGAGATAATTTAAAAAAAATTAATAAATATGATAAATAAGTCTTATATTTAGGACCAAAATCAATTCAACAATTAGATCTTATATTAAGGATCGGAGGAGTACATTGCAAGGCATATTGTTTTGTCTGCGATGCAATTGGAGTGAGAGATATATGGTGAGTACTTCGGAGGCAGATATTGAACTCCAAACTTCAGCTTCGAAGTTTCTGCAGATATTTTCCGCCAAAACATACTAGCTTACTACTATCGATCTCCCCTGACATCATGCAAAGTCACGAAATTGTTCCCGGCGACTGGGGCACTGCAGGCTTCACCTACGTCGTAAACTATACCCTAGGTAAGAATTAGACAACATTGATCGGCTACATTGTTTTTTTTTTTTTTTGAAAAACTCCTTCTGCTCGACTCAATTAATTAAGAAGGTTAAATTAAGTGTATTGCATATATATGATGACATAGATGGGATACCACAAATGGCTAAGTCGGAGGCGGAAAGGATAAACATAACAGACCTATCAATAACGTTCAAAGTGATAGAGGGAGATCTGTTGGATGTGCATGATAGTTTCAAGTTTATTCTGAAACTGATTACAAATGTAGCGTCGGGAAGCGCAGTGCAACTGGACTTTGCAATATGAGAAGGCAAACGATGACACTGCAGATCCAACCTCGCTCATGGAGGAGGTTATCCAAGTAACAAAAGATGTTAATCAACTAATTATTTTAAACCACGTAATTATACATATGTACTACCTTCAGTCCTAATTATAAGACATCGTTTGTAGATTATAAACAAAGTTTTATAATTGGGACCTGAGGTATTATTGATAATTGAGGTCAGTGTGTGTCAAATAAAAGGTGACTTTGTCAGCTGTTTCATATATAGGCGTGTGTGCTGATCATATATATCCTGCTTTGTTATCGCAGTATAATATATGTTTGTCAAATAAAAGTTGACTTTGTCATATATAAGTATGTGAGCAAGAGCAAGTTTATGTGCTGCACAATGTAATTTTGCTGCAAGTATAATATATGTAAATGGTAGGAATAATTTGGAAAAAAATTTAAAAAAATAAAATGCATTAATAAGATTTTATATTTAGAATTAAAATAAATCCTTGAAAGATATTTCATATTTAGTATTGGAGGAAGTAGATGTATTTAGTGCCACTGTGCGAGCGACAATTCCTTGGTAGACGTCAGGGCTCTGGCGCTCTTAGCTTGCGGATTTTACGAAGGAATCTTTACAATAGTGTCTAGAAGATCCCTTTCTCGGTGCATGACAGAGACGAAGCCTTTACGAATGTGGCCTTGGGCGAACAAAATCTACGGCCTACAGATGGTTCCCTTCTTCTTCTTCTTCTTTTTTCTTTTTTTAAATCCACGGACTCATTCGAATACGAATATCACATTTTGGGTTTTAAGTTCGAGAAGTTTTAAAATATCATTATTTAAGGATTTTCATTGAAAAATGACCATTTATTCATTAAGGACCTTATTAATCTTTTTTTCGGTGTAAAATGGGTCAAAACGTTCAATTTATTTATTCAAAACCGGAACAATTCTTGAGGTAGTGAGGCCTGAAGAGTCTAATCTTTTGCTCCAAGAAAAAAAAAACTCATGTTTACATATAGTCCCTCGAGTTGAATTGAGATCTTAATTAAACAGCTTTTTTTTATATTCATTCTCCTGACATTTTTTCAACTTACATGCATTGCTGATTTAACTTAGCATGTAGCATTTTTAAAATTAAAACATGAACTAATTGAAAGTCATCGATTTCAGCTGAGCCCCTTCGGAATTTCCAACCTAACTTTTTAAAATCTCCAACTTAAACATAAAGAAGGGTATTTTAGTAAATTGATTTCCAAATATCAATAAAATACCAATGATTTCAATTGACATGTATATGAAAAGTTTGGAGTATTTTTTCTTTATCATCCAACACCCAATAAGACTATGAAAGGAACTCCTGCATTTGTGATATTTACAGAGAGTCTAAACTCGCCAGCAGTCTCATACTTTAAAAAAATTTAAGAGTAGTATAAGCATAGTATGTAATACTACATCCAATTCTTAATATAAGAACTAGTTAACTAATTTGAATATATTTAAAAAAATTAGTTAAGTTAATTATTTCTAATAAATAGATGTTGTCTTCCTTAAACTATCAATGTTAATCATGTGTATTAGCTAAAACTACCATTTGTAGAAACCTTTAACATAAGAGACAAAGTGAATTGTGATCTTATATTTAAAATCAAATTGAATATCAAACTAGTTCTTATGTTAAAGAATGGAAGTAGTATTATTGAACTAAAATGTCCTCACAATGAATGTGTCATTATTATTTTTATTAGTCCAAATATATAATACTCCTCCGGTTCTTAATATAGGACCTAATTGTTGAGTTGATTTTGATCCTAAATATAAGATCCATTTCTCATATTTATCAATTTTTTCTAAATTACCCCTATAGATGCTCCCTCAACCATAATCAAGTAAAAGAGAAAGAGAAGGTATTAAAAAAGATGATTATGGTGTTTTAGGAAAAATGTGTCATTTTTCTTCTACTTAACTAACTTACCTAACTTTCTTAATCTAATTAAATTAGTTAAATAAGCCTTATATTAAGGACCGGAGGAGCATTTGTCTTGTTCTAATCATCAAATCCTCCTTCTCTAACCCGTTCCCACCATAGATTTGATCTCTCGTCGGGATGCACACCACACATTTGTGTTTTCGGTTATCTGGAAGGTCGTTTTTAATTTTCAGACAAATTTGTCTCTCCATATAATTCTTTTAACTTGTCACTTTGTGAATGGCGTGGATTTAGTGGAGATTTCGTTGTCGTCTTATCCTACTTGCATTAATTTTATGCGAATTTCCAGTGTTTTAAAGTTCAACTACCATGTCGGGAAAATCCCTCAAAATCTCAATCATGATGGATTTCTCTAACTAGCCCCACAATCAATCTTAATAATTACTCCTTCTGTGAGCAACCTTGCACTAAATCTTAATGTGTTAAAATTGAAAATTTTTTGACAAATTATATGTCCTTATTTATAAGGAGAAAGTATAAGAAAGAGAATAATAAAATTATTATAATAAAGAGAATTGTTAGAGAATGAAAATATGTAATGAAGAGAAATTATATTAAAATATAATCTTCAGAACATTAATTATCTAGAAGATAATGTTTCAGGTAATATATATATTAACCATTAAAATAAGTATTTAATATCGGCAAAATAGAAAATTAATTACAAAAATTTAAGATAGTTTGTAAATGCTACTTATATTTGGGAACAAGGAAAGGACAGTGATTGTTAATTATTATAAAAAAAAAAAGGATGGAGGGAGAGTAGCAACTATCATCAATTTAAATTTAAATATGAGTATTTCGGTTGAGATGTATGCATACAGCTCTTTAGTCACGGATATGGTAGTCTTTATCCAATAAGTATAGCCACATCCACCGCCTAAATCAAACGTCTTATTTAACAGAAAATGGAGTTTCTTTTACCTGATTCAATTGTTTTGGGGGAAAATTGCGGAGAAGTCTTTCATTCAAAGTTTTATTAGTGTGAGTGATCTGGTAAATTTTTATACATAGAGAGTACTGGACTCTGCAAATTCTGCACACACTGAGTACAGAATTTTTAATAGGGGGCTTTTTCCTGATTTTTTTATTTTTCATGATATTTTTGGAAAATAAATAAATAAATAAAGATATATTGATTACCAATATTTAACAGTAGTATAATAATAAATTATTATCAACGTGAAAAAAACATTACTTTCGTCTGCCGTTTTTGTAAACGAAATTCAAACAACACACCCAGGCGGGGAAATTAAAAAGACCACACAAGCATTTTTGTTTCAGTTTTTATAATAATATCTTTGTCATATAGTGAGAAATATCACATCCATTAGAAGTGGATAACACTAAAATAATAATCTCACTTAAATAATCAGATTTTTCAGACAGCAAATTGCATATAGTAATCTCAGCTGTGATTTTTTAAATAAAAAATAAATAGCGTGAGTTGTTGGCTAATCATTCGATAATGATGACTAATTAACATAATATCAGTGAGGCCGGGAACTTTTTCATGTGGCCAACATCAACGATGGAACTTCATAACACGTGAAACTGCATTCTGATTATCTGGTCAAGAAATAAAAAAGAATATTTTTAATTTCATGTATAATAATTGCTTGGAATTTAATATTGTATCTGAGATGGCTAAAACATAATTTGATTATAATATTATAATTCCGGCCAAAAAATATTGAACATTATAAAATTTTAACATTTCTAAATTAATATGATCCATCGCTTGTGTGACCGTAACCTCAATAATTAACATTGGTCGAGCATTATTGATTAAAAAAAAGTGGACACCGATAAAAATTGATTTAAAAAAACAGAGAGAATTATTCAAAGAGTTGGATATGCAAGCATTCGAGCATTTTTTTTTAATTTAACAACTTCATTCTGAGTGACTTGATGTGTAAAAATTTTGAGAATTGGGGTTGAGTTCAGCCATGAAAACCTTGTGCCATGGGTAAACACACACAGCCTATAATATATAATATAGTCGGGAAGTTAAATCTCATCTTAAATATAGGATATTAATATAAAAAAATGTTTTATCTCCCGTATTTATCATATTTTCTAAAATTAATTTACTTAATTTATAAATTAATATAATATAACGTTATATATAGATATCTTAGAGAGATGTTTGACTTTTCCAATCTATTCAAATTAACTAAGTAAAACTGTTATATAGATGAGAGGAAATGTTATAAAATGACAAAACTTCTAATATGCAGCCGGGAAAAAGAAGAGTGGGAAATTAAAAATGATATTCAAAACTAACCTACACAAATATATCCACATCACGAATTTTGTTATATAAAGGTCATTGTAGGATAGCAATAGTATCCACAAGAACTTGACATCTTGTTACATTGTGAGTATTGTTCTTTCCGTGCAATCTAATCGGAGTGAGAGAGATATGGTGAGTACTCTGGAAGCAGATGTTGAACTCCAAACTTCAGCTTTGAAGTTTCTGGAGATATTCTCGACCAAAACATACAAGCTTGCCACGATCTCCCCCGACATCATTCAAAGCCTCGAAATTATTGGCGGTGACTGGGGCACCGCAGGCTTCTCCTTCCTCGTGCATTACACCGTGGGTCAGCCAACATCCATCACTCTCTAGCTGCTTTTGAAATTACTGCTTCCCTTATGATTTCTTTCCTCTCTTGATGCAGTTGAAACCAGTTATATACGATTAATATGAAATCCTGTTTTCATCAGGGTGATGAATTGACAATTCTTTTTAATATGATCCTTTTATGTTTATGTGTACATGCATGGACACAGAGGGAACAGCACAGGTAGCGAAGGAGGTGGTGGAAAGCATAAACTTAATAGAGCGATCAATAACATTCAAAGTGATAGAGGGAGATCTGTTGGATGTGTACAATAGCTTCAGGTTTATTCTGAAAATCACTCCGAATGTACTGTCGGGCAGCGTAGTGCACTGGACTTTGGAATATGAGAAGCCAAGCGATGACACTGCAGACCCAACCTCGTTGATGAAAGAGGTTATTCAAGTTTCAAAAGATGTTGATGCCTTCGTTAGCGGCCTCATTTAGTTAGACATTACTTACTTTAATGCGCGTGTATTAATTAAGGTTGGTGTATGAGTCTGTAAAATAAAAGTTGACTTTGTCAACTGTTGCGCGCGCCCACATGCGTGTGTGCTTATTATATTCTGTTCTTGTTACAGCGCTTCACATCAACAAGCGCATGTCAGTGTGTTCATTCTTCTGGCATTTTCAACTTACATACAGTGCTTTTTAACATTGAAGTATGAATGGATTGAATTTCATTTCAGCTGAGCCTTGCGGAATTGCCGACTTAACTTTTCAAAATCTCTAACTTATATATAGACAAGAGGTAGTTTAGGAAATTAATTTTCAAATATCAACCAAAGACAAAGGTTTTCAACTGACATATAAAAAAGTTAGTCTTGTTAAGGTGTTAGTCATTATTCTTCTTGTTTAGTCCAAATATATAATTTGCCTTGTTCCAATCCTCTATTAATCCTCCTTTTCTCACCCGTTCCCACCATAGCTTTGATTTTTGTGTTGCACTCCACACGTTTATGTTTTTGCTCCTTTGGAGAAGGTCTTTTTTCAAACAAATTCGTCTCCCCACACAATTCTTTAATTTGTCACTTTGTGAACGGCAGTGGGTTTAGTCGAGATTTTGGGGCCATCATAATTAATCTGATTAGTTTAAGAAAATTAAATAAGTAAATTAATTATCATAAATGTGATATGATTTGCCTAGGATACTATTATATAATATTATATGAAATGATAATAAAGTTTGATATGAGCTAACCACCAACCAATTAATATATATAATATATTATATGGTATACAAATACAATACATCAAAGTCTTGGTTGAATTAAAAAATTACGCGAGTCTCCGTAAATATGATAAATGCGTGACTTTCTTTCATTAAATGAAATATGACTAAGAAAAAACAAGTAAACAACAAACTCATGAGGCGGGGACAAAACCCACACAAGCGTTATCTAGTGATACTCATTGTAAAAACCCACACAAGCGTTATCTAGTGTAAGAATCCTGTGTATTTCATTCTGGGTGAGTTGTGTAAAAATTTTAAGAACTGGGTTTGAGTTTAGCCATTAAAACCTTGTGCCATGGGTAAACGCATGCAAATCCTCTGGGATTGAAATTGTTAATTTTTAATAGTAGGAAAATCTCTCAAGTATTCTCAAAGAGACTATATGGAAGGGCTAAATCAAGATAATTTTACTACGGCTGATTCATTCCGAGTTCCCACTATAATAATAATAATAATTATTATTATTATAAAATAACAAAACCCCTAATATTCAGCCTAGAAAAAGAAGAGGGGGTAATTAATTAAATATGATCTTTTCAACCAATAACCTACAAAATATATATCCCCCAACACGCATCACATATGGTGTTTTCTATATATGCAAATAAAGGCCATCGTAGGACCCCAATGCTTTCCACAAGCATTTGTCATCTTTTTACGTTGCAAGTATTGTCTTGTCTGCGATCTAATTGAAGTGAGAGAGAGAGAGAGAGAGATCAGAGATGGTGAGTGCTTTGGAGGCAGATGTTGAACTCCAAACTTCAGCTTCGAAGTTTCTGCAGATATTTTCCACCAAAACATATGAGCTTGCCACTATCTCCCCTGACATCGTTCAAGTGTTGAAATTGTTTCTGGTAATGGGGCACTGCAGGCTTCTCCTTCGTCATCAACTACACGTTAGGTCAGGCAACGTCACTCTATTTTTCAAATCACAACGTCGCTTATTATGATTTCTTTTAGGCCTTAATGCTGCCCATATATGCAGTTGAAACCAGTTATATATGTGTGCGCGCGCGCGCGCGCGTGATCATTATGAAATCTTGTTTTGAGGGCGGGCGTGATTATATAATCTTGTTCCTTCGTGTTTGCTTACACTTGATTACACAAAAGATCTTTTGCTTATATATGTATGTGTACACAACAGATGGGATGCCACAAGTGGCTAAGGATGTGGTGGAAAGCATAAACTTAATAGACCTATCAGCCGTATTCAAAGTGATAGAGGGAGATCTGTTGGATGTGTACGATAGCTTCAAATTTATTCTGAAACTCACTCCAAATGTACTGTCGGGAAGCGTAGTGCACTGGACTATGGAATATGAGAAGCGAAGCGATGACACTGCAGATCCAACCTCGCTGATGAAAGAGGTTATTCAACTCTCCAAAGACGTTGATGCTCACGTTGCCAACCTCATCTAGACATTACTTAAAACCATGTAATACGTATATACTCAATTAAGGTTGGCGTCTGTCAAATAAAAGTTGACTTTGTCCGCTGTTTCCTATATATATGCGTGTATGTTTATTACATTCTGTTTGTTACCGCGCTTGACATGAACAAGCGCATCTGCTTGTATAATTTAATTTTTATATATGCGAGTTCCTCTATAAATTCACGTACGATTATAGCATATCTGGAATAGGATATCACAAATTCAGCTAAAGTGAAAAGTGAAAAACAAAAAGAAAGTGGGTTTTTATAAGTTAAAAGGTAGGTTAATTAAAAATACGCAATTTACTGCAAATTCTCGGCAACATAATAAGAGAGTTAAGTTTATGACTAAAGCAAAATATGAAAATCAATTTAAAAAGTCATTCAAAATATGCAGTGACGTATAATAATAGTATAATACATTGAATGATTTGACCGCTCTTCCTAAATATATATAGCAATGCAAAGATATACGCAGCCGGGAAAAGAGAAGGCGAGAAAGTCAACTTTTATTTGATACACAAACTTCATTAATTAGTTATAATTAGAGAGGGGCAGCTCATGAGAGTAAGCAAGAAAGCAAATAATTATTAATGTATGCCTAGATGAGGTTGCTAACATAAGCATCCGCGTCTTTGGATAATTGAATAACAGCTTGAAGCAAGGAGGTTGGGTCTGAAGTGTCATCGTCTGGCTTCTGATCATATTCCGAGGTCAAATTTAAAACGCTTCCCGACAAAACGTTTGGAGTCAGCTTCAGAAGAAACTTGAAGCTGTCGTGTATCTCCAACAGATCTCCCTCTATCACTTTGAATGTGACTGATAGCTCTTGTGATTATGTTTATACTTTCCACCATCTCCTTAACCACCTGTGGTTTCCCATCCGTGTACGTTTTCCCACAAAAAAGCATAACTGGTTAATTTTAACTCTATATGGACGACTATATATAGTGTTTAAGATTTTCAAAAGAATTCTTCAGTGAAGCAATAATTAGAATTCAATCACTTACCTATGGTATATATAGTGAGCGAGGAAGAGGAAGCTTACAGTACCGCATTCACCTTCAACAAGTTCAAGTCTTTGTGCGATGTCAGGGGAAATAGCTAGTGAGAAGCTCATATATATATATATATATATATAATCTGGTCGAGAATATTTCAAGAAGTCAAGAACGTTCACAGCTGAAGTCTTGAGCTCAACATCAGCCTCCAGAAAACTAACCACAGACATCTCTCTCTCTGTCTCTCTCTCTTTTTTGATGTACCCTCTCTCTCTCTCTATAATTAATATACTTCTTTATTTTCAACTTTGTAACGTGTAATTTGCAACTATTCTACTAATAATTATAACTGAAGATTGTTTACTTTTGGGACCTAATTATATAATTATATTGATTTTCGCAGACCTAATAGTTAATCCCTCACTATTATTTTATTCAAGATTATAACAGCTACGTAAAAGAAATTGCTACGACACTTCTTTTAGCAACGATTTTATTTTCAGGTGCTACAAAAGTCATTGCTAAAACGTTTTTTTTCCGTTGGCCCTGGACTCGTTCAGCTGAACAAATCAATCATTTTGTTAAAATTTAATGATATTTTCTTCAATAATTGCGATCTATCAAACAAGAGTTTTTCTGACATGACATAAATTTTATACATGTATTCTATATTATAAAAATGAAAAAATACGGATAATGTAATAAAAGATATAAGAAACGTCATTCCCCCACATCTTCGATTAGCTAACCAACAATAATATATCCTCCCAAGGACCAGAATGCATTACAGATTTCGTACGTATTTAAGGGACGTTGAATAACACCAATCTTCCCCAACCATTCGTCTTCTTATTACACGCAAGTGAAATCTAAGTTGTGAGAGAGAAAGAGAGAGATGTCTGTGGTTAGCAGTCTGGAGGCAGATCTTGAACTCAATACTTCAGCTGTGAAGTTTCTTGAAATATTTTCGACCAGAATATATGAGCTTCTCACAATCTCACCTGAGATTATACAAGGCATTGAAATTGTTGAAGGTGAATGGGGCACTTCAGGCTTCGTCTTCCTCTCTCATTATACCCTGCTAGGTGAAAGCCACCTTCAACTTCACTCTCTACCTTTTACATTACTGCTTCACGTACATATGTATGATTCCTTTTGAATCTTAACACTAATTTCAATTTAATTCTCATCCATGAAGCTGAAACCTGCAGTTAATCTTATAATATGAAATCTTGATCCTAATTTCATCAGCACTGTGATTAACACTCTTAAATCAGATGGTACACCACAAGTAGCTAAGCTGGTGGTGGAAAGCATAAACTTAGTAGACCTATCAATGACGTTCAGAGTGATAGAGGGAGATCTGTTGGATGTGTATAATAGCTTCATGGTTTATCTTAAACTAACTCCAAATGTACTGTCGGGAAGCGTATTGCATTGGACCATTGAATATGAGAAGCCAAGTTCAGACACTGCAGATCCAGCCTCCTTGATGGAAACTGCCATTCAAGTCTCCAAAGACGTTGATGTTTATGTCAGCAACCTCATCTAGAGACCTTCCAATTCATAATTATTACTCCATCTTGATCTCTTGCTCGTAATTAAGCTGCCCTACTGCTTGAACAAGTTTGTGTGTCAAATAAAAGTTGACTTTGTCAGCTTCTCTTTTCCCCGATGCGTGTATCTTTGTGTTTTGCTGTACTTATAAGAAAATGAGTTTAACGGCGCGCTTTACATGAGCCACCTCTTCAATATATATATGCTTTATTTATTATTGTTGTATTTCGGATAAACTAAGATATTATAAGTGATTGAGAAATGTTTCTAATATCGATTACACTAACCTATTTATTATTCAAACGGTGGATATGGGATATAAATAAATATCGCATCATCCACTCTATAAATAGGGATGACCAATATGAGTAGAAATACAATGAAATATGTTAATTGAATGATCCTCTTTCTTCTCTCTTGTAAGGTATTTACTGTGTCTAAATAGAAGCACCCAGTAGATTGCTTTGAAACCAAATCTGATGTCTCTCTTTTCGTCCACTTATTTTGTAACAATTATATATGACCAATTGGAAATATAAATAGAGACGCGGACACAAACAGAGAGTTCATAGGCTGGACATCATCTCAATCGAGTGACCAAGCCTAGCCCAAAGATGCCTCCCGCCAGGCCAGGTCAGAGTAAGGTTAGCTAAGAATCAAATTACAGAATGGAAGATATTTAGCATTCCAGGAAAGGATGCATCCTTAATTAGTATAAGAGCTGGAACTTAAATTAAATCTAGTTATAAATATAAGATATCAATTCAATTTATTTTCCAAATTTATAATTGTTTGTCAAAATATTCCTATTGAGTGTAAAGAGTTCTCACCAAGAGCTAGTTCCAGCATACACGATTAAGGAAGATAATTTTAAAAAGTCAATATATATTTGTTATAAATAACTAATTTAACAAATTTTTTTAATATCTTGAAATAAATTATATGTATAGCTTTTATATTAAGAACTAAAAATAATATACGACAAGTGTTTAAGTTTAGCAGGTTGAAAGATAATAATGTTGAGGGAGATACGCCAAATCCTTTTTTTTCCTGTAATGTGTTTTTTCTTTTTCTCTTGAATACAACCGAATCTGACTGTTTCACTTTAATAGGAAGTACAATCACAACTGACCAATAATCGCGTGAAATTATCTTAGGTGATAAGAGTAGGATGATGTTTGGATAGAAATCAAACTCCAACCCTCCACATGTAACCCATGGGGGCAAAAATCATTCAATTTGTCGGCCACCAATTATTTTGATTAGCCTTGTCATTGAGACCATTCGATCGACATTCGTGTCATCCTATCTACCCCTCCCTTCTCGAATTAACCTTTTGTGTTTTCATATAAAGCCTTGCTTTTGTACTGGCCTTGAGACCAAGGAGACAAGTTGAGCGGTTCATATTTAAAGATTAATCAAATCATAAATAATGTTGGAACAAATGATGAGGAGGGGAAAAATAATGTGTACCAGATCCATCCAACCAAAACAAGGTTTAAAACGCAGAGCCGCTGGTTTAAAGTAATTATATTATTCGTTGGCCATAAGGTTAATTTAACTCACATTAACCATCACATAAAATTACTAATTTTAATAACTGAATGATATTTGTTGACCCTATCGAAAAGCAAATGGCCCCAAGCTAATAAAAGCATGCTGCAACCATGTGTCTTGTTGAGCACCACTCCCTCCCTCCCACTCTCCATCATCATCCTTCTCCGCCTTTATACAGTCCCACATCTCACCACATGTTCCATTAATCACGTACCATCAAACCCATTACTAATCTAATTAATGAAATATTGAGTTGTCGCCTTCAAAAATTAATCATGTAACATCAAAGCCAAACAATATAATTTTTACATGGCTCTGTTTCATTCCTAGATTGGGAAAAGAAATAGTACTACCTTCGGTTCTTAATATAAAACCTAGTTACGGAGATTAAGAAAATTAGTTAAGTTAGTTACTTATTATAAATAGGTGTTGTCTTTCCGAGAATACCCTTACTAATCATATATATTAGCTAAAATTGTGATTTGATGAAATTTTTAACATGTGTAACTACTACAAGGACTATTTAAAAAAAAAAAAGAACAAAAATAAAAGATAAAGTAAATTGAGGTCTTATATTTAGGACTAAATTAATATCAAATAAGCTCTTATATTACTCAGAGGTTATAATATTTTGATAGGGAAGACAAAATATATGCACCAAGTAGAAAAATCTAGCTAGTAAGCACGAGAATTCGTGAGAGAGATTGAGAAATTGGGTTAAGTCGACATTATTAACCACCTGATCAGCACTGGGAGAAACTTTCTTCTATTTAAGGTCCAATAAGCAAGCATATCTTCCACATCTCTGTCCTTATCTCTGTAGCTTGCTAGCTAGCTATCAGAGACATAGAGGCATGGCTCTCGCCGGTACCTTGGAGGGTGAAGTTGAGATCCATTCGCCTGCTGATAAGTTCTTCAACTTCCTTGTAACTCAACTTCACCATGTTCAGAACATCACCGATCACGTCCATGAAACTAAGGTGCACCAAGGAGACTGGCACAGCGTTGGTCCTGATCACGTCAAGCACTGGACTTTTACCGTCGGTAAGCCTTCCTCATAGTCAATTCATTCTTCAGTCCTTTCGTTGTTTCAAATTAATTTTCTCTCCATGCAGTATCTAATGCTTCACTCATATATGGTTCACTTATTTAGTAAGCATTATTGACGATCATTATTACAGATGGTAAGGTGGAAACTTGTAGGGAGCACATTGAAGAGATTGATCGAGAGAAGAAGTCGATCACGTTCAACAATTTTGATGGACATGTTGGTGAGAAGTACAAGACTTTAAAGTCTAAGCTTGAGGCGGTTGAAAGGGGCATTAATAATGGGGCCGTTGCGAAATGGACTTACCAGTATGAGCAGCTCCATGAGGATGTGCCTCCTCCACAAGCCTACTTGGACTTTGTCATTAAGACCACTAAAGATATCGATGCTCATCTTTTAAAAGCATAAACATCAAATAAAACTACGGCTTCATGTTTTGCTTCTTCAGGAAAAAGGGAATCTATCTATAATTAATTATATTAGCCAAGCGTGTGAACTCATCTATAATGTCGTTATTGGTGCCGAAAATTAAATAAAGATGCGTGTAATAAAGTGTTTGATCTTTGATTCGTGTGCTTAATGACGAGATGTTGGTTATATTAGGTATAAATGAAAATGGTGCGAGTGATCTTATGGCCTATTAATGATACATTTCCATGATCCCCTGAAATTTTTTTTTTTTTTACTTCATTGGCTAAAAATAATCAGTCGATCGACTTTGCCTATTCTACAGGAGCGATGATATAATTAATTAACATGAATGCAGAATTACAACTCGTTGATGATCTCTAATGTCAGTGGGCCGGGTCGACTCCTTATTATGTTCACCCAAAAAAAAAAAACTGTCTTCAATTAAATATTTTAGTAGTTGATCTTAAATTTGAAATAATTAATCTGTATCCAATAAAATTATATGTGCGCGCGCACACGCGTGCAGATAAAACACTTTTTGTAAGCACAATAACTAGATATATATATATATATATATATATCGTCAAGTGAACTAGAGTATGTTATATTAGTACAATAAGCCATTGCTTTTACAAGGAAAAAAAAATAACGAAGCAAATTTGTGGTAGTTTTACTATTATTTTTAAAAAAAATTCTGAATTTGAGTTAAGAATATTTTGAATTTTCAAGCAAAACACATGAGGTTGCCTTTACCTCGCTTGACATCATACAAAGTCTTTTGTTTTTTCCCCGACCAGTCTGATCACTACTCTATTTTTCTGCATATGATCTTCCTACTGTGTGGCTGTTCTTCCATTTCACGCACTAAAAAGGTTTGGTTATAGCTACATATGGCAATTGATGTTTTGGGCGTATAATAGACCTATGGGTCACATTCAAAGTGATACAGGGAGATCTGTTGGGTGTGTACAATAGCTTCAACTATATATTAAAATTAAAACAATTTTTTTCTGTTTTTGGCTTTTTTTTTAGATATAAACATTTTGAAACTAATTAACCTTTCAATGAATCATCCAAGCAAACTTCTGTCAAACTAACATTTTATAAACATTTATCTAAACATAAATTAAATTAGATCAAACTAATCAACTTGTATCCCAACCCCAATCGATCAAAACAAAAGTTACGGACGTTGATGCATGCTTAAGTTGGCAACCTCATCAAGACATTAAAGCTATTGTACACTGAAGCAGGTCTTTGAAGAAAGAAGATAAGGAAAAAAAAAACTGCAAAGAAAAAGAAAAAATAAATAATAAAAGGGAATGACCACAAAAACGGGGTGTTGTGAATGAAAGCATGAGGGTAAATTGTTTGCAAATTCCATCGGGCAATTTAGAGGAGAAGGGAGGTCGCCATCTTCATCCTCATTCATACGCCTTCGCCTTTTCTTCCTTGAATCATCACCATAAGCTGCCACACTCCAAAAAAATACAGCAAACCATCATCATTCTTCTGGGGCGAGAAATAGGAACGGGAAGGCGATTGCGAACTAGGTGGCTGATCAAGACCAAAGACAAAGGACAATCGCGAGCCTGGTGGTTGAAAACCAGAGATTCGAAAGATACTCATGAGCCAGAGACGTTCTTGGCCAGAGAGATAATGGGAAAGAGGCATGAGAGAGAAGGGGTAAAATTTTCAGAAGACCAGTAACGCTAAAATGACTTCTCCACCGTTGACCGTAGCATCTTGTGGCTTCCACGGTACTATGCTTTTACTGCTGTAAGTCATATTGAGAAAAAGTTAATCCAAACGAACATTTGTCTTCAAACATGCCACCAACTCACGTTTTGCACATTCCAATGCATGTTTTGATCTCAAAACGGAGATCCAAACACATGCTAAGTTGCCCATATGTTGTGGGTAATCAAGTTGGTGTGCCGATTGCCAAACAGAGCATGACTTTGTCAGCTATATATGCGAGCATTTGCACGTAGCTAAGCTAATACCAGTAAATAAAATGCACCTGCGACTACTTCCTATATTCCCTAATTAAATAACACAAATAGATATAGCTAATATCGTTTCTAATTGGGTTCCAAAAGTCATATGATGATGACTTGTTGAATGCTTAATATAAATTAAATAGTTAGATGGGTTGATAAGGCCTATTTGAATTTGAAACTACAATAATATGAGGTGAGGATATTAGCAGTAGCACCTGCAAAGAAACAATTAATCCGAGTCACGTTCTAAGGATACTGTCTTTAAGAGCTATTCCGTAACCACCGACAGATGAGAATGCGGCACTCCCCAGGATTGAACAAATTCTTCGTGTGAAACAGGGTGAGCAGAACAACATAAGATAATAATAAACTCAGCAGGTAAAAAAACACACAAGAGGGGTAAGAGAGGAGCTCGAAAACTCTAGAGCTGTGTGTTTTGAACTTTAGATTTTTTTTTTTGGTGAATATTTTGAACTTTAGATTGAAGCACCTTTTTATAGGCCTCCATGATCTAAACGTTGCTTGCCTCTTAATGATAATAAAATTTCAGTTCTGAATGTTGAAAATCATTGAATAATTTAATTGCATAATCTGAACTGTTGGAGGCAAAGGAAGAAAGCATTCTGTTTTAAATTTCATAATCATCTTTTGATACATTAAAAAAGTTTAAAAGCACCAGGATTTCAAACCTTTCAAGCCATTAGACAATTATAGAGAATTTTCGTTCAGCAATTTAAATGCTTCAATGCATTCAAGGATTTTTCGGTTTAGGATTTTAATGGGCCACTTTTAAATCTCTAAGGCATTGAAAATCCATTTATAACATTAAAACTATTTAACATTTGATTTTCCTATTCCAAAATCTGTCCATGATTAATGTTCAATTTGTTTTTATCTGCCCACATTCCCAATTAACGTAGTATCCTTTCTTTGACACATCCACACAAATATCACAACATAGGAGGCCCGTATTATGATACCTATCTTCGTATGGCATAAACCCTAAGTTATATGTGAAATGTGTGAGGAGGAGGAAGACAAGATACGCCCAATACAACTGAATTTGGCTTCTTCTGTACAGTTAAGAGCCTGTAGTATATCAGTTTGCAGTTTGATCTGGAATAATAATAATGCACAACAAGAAACGGTGTGAAATAATGATATAATTCACCACGTGCAGAGAACATGGCAAACTGCTTATATAGTTATATTCCAAACATATTTGTAGTTCATTTTCTCCCAAGATTCTTCATCTTCTTTCTCTATGGACGGTTTTGGCGCTGTGGCAGTGTGGCGCTATATAGTTTCTCATTATCTGTGCAACGCATAAAGACTTGGATTATCATTTATCAACATCGTTTTATTGTTTGCCCAAAAATGGAAAATAATTTATGGTCCCTAATCACAGTTGTCGCTTGTACAACGACTGACATTAAATATTCAGATTTAGATCACTGATATCTTGATGTGGTTAAAGGATGTTGACTTGGCAAAAAAATTGATGGTTGATTTAATTTAAATCAAATTGGCAAGCTAATGTTGACATAATTTATAGTAGATACTCTCATTTCTAGATAAAATATTGGAGGCGCGTTTAAATTGTTGATTTTATGCGCAACTTAAGACAATCAGAACTTGACTACTAACTTCTATAAAACTAACAATTTTATGTTTGGAAGCCACAAATAATGTAATACGTTAAATCCTTTTAAATTATTCTTGAAAAGTGTAAGATATTCAAATTCAATCCATACAGTTGACTAGTATCATAACGGACAAAAAATGTTAATTAGTATAATAAGCCAATTCTCTGTCATATTTGTGGAAAAATTATTAATTTTCTACTTGATCATTATTGAGTCGATATTTTTTCTTTTTTTTGGTTTTTGGTCAGCGTAACAGATATCTGGTTTTTTAAAAGAAAATCAGTATAGCCGAGGTTAAATATTCTAAAATCCAAAATAATGACATAATATTATAATTATTTATTAGATTTAACTAATATATATTCTTGTCAATTGGTCGAAGGTCCATTTAATTTCACAGTTTAATTTCGGCCTCAAAAGGATCAACCCGGCATAGGATGCCCTCTTAGCACATGAAATCAAGAATGCTCACCTGATATTAGGCCACGATCTGTGGACATGAGTAGTTAGCTAGGTCATAAATGATACTACAAGCAAAGGAAATAAAGGATGATGATAGGACCAACAAACGATGGTGGGTTTAGTTGAGATTTTTAACATTTGATAATTTAGTTATATGATATCATTTATCACAATCTGATTTTCTTCATGTTTTGAAATTCAGCTTGGAGCCCGATCCCCCACATACACAGGACATGCACAACAGACAAAATCTCAAAAAGAAAAACGTGAAAGTACATAAGAAAAACGTGAAAATTATAAAACATTAGTATCACTTAAGAAAAGCAAATTAAGCGCCCTACCCTTAGCTTGGGTTGAGCCCAAACCCTACCTAATATTTTTGCATCAAAAAGAAAAAAAGAAAATGAAATTTTAGGTGCATAGTAGAGAAAGTTTCTTGTATTTAAGGTGCAACAAGCAAGCATCTCCAACCCCATCCGATCCATATCGCTCTCTTCTTTTCTTGAGCTGAAATCAGTGAGAAATGGCTCTGGCTGGAAAATTGGAGGCTGAAGTTGAGGTTCATTCACCTGCTGCCAAGTTCTTCAGCCTCTTCGTAACTCAACTTCACCATGTTCAGAACATTAGTGATCTAGTGCACGAAACTAAGGTGCATCAGGGAGACTGGCACGGCGTTGGCTCTGATTCTGTTAAGCACTGGTCTTATACTATCGGTAACGAAGCTTTTACCAAATACCCTTACCCATCATCATGCGATTAATTTCAAGGGTTTTTGATCAATTTCGCTTATTTTGCTAATGTTGATGTATGTTAATTACATACAGGAGATAAGGTAGTGAACTGCAAGGAGCACTTTGAAGAGATTGATCATGAGAACAAGTCACTCACATTCAACCTGTTTGATGGAGATGTTGGAGAAAAGTATAAAAGCTTAAAGGCAAAGCTTCAAGTCGCTGAAAAGGGAAGTGGTGCCCTTGCCAAATGGACTTACGAGTATGAGAAGCTCAGCCCGGAAGTCCCTCCTCCACAAGGCTACTTGGACTTTGCCACTAAGGTTACTAAGGATATTGATGCTCATCTCATAAAGGCATAGCCCTTTAAAAGCAATATGGATTTGGCTCTGTGGTTT